GACGGGTCGGCGCCAGCTCGCACCCACGAGCGAGACAATGAACGGACAGTCCATCCTACTCACAAGATGTGAGTACGTATACAACACGCCATGGGACGTACTCGGCCATGAGGATGATTTCGTCAATGAACTGCTGGACCGCGTCCGGGTGGCGGTACAACAATCGCTTGATCGCGACGGGCTCGGAGGCGTACGTGCCGAGCCAGACTTCGCCGTAGGCGCCAGACGCGAGGGGCTTGTCGCTTGTGACGCGGAGCTCGGAGAGCTCGAGGCGGTGCTGGCGCAGGCGGGAGACGTCAAGGAGGCCGTCCGAGCTGTCGGCAGTCGGCATTGTGCGACCCGTGGAGCTGCTGTAGTAGCTGGATAGGGTGTTGACAGTTCGGCGCTTGCGGTAGCGATGAAGAATGCAACCAAGAATGAGCAGTAGGAAAGCAGTGCCAACAGTAATGGCTGCAACGACGGTTGAAGTCTCTATAAAGTACTTGATTTGCCGTCGTTGACGGCGCGTAGAGACGTACCGGTACGCTTGGATGACTGCGGGCTCGCGACGCACACCCGCACGGTAATGTTGGTCTTGCCTGCCCAAAGCGTCTGAACGGATCCGTCGATGGCACCACATGCGCCGGTGTCCACGGAGACGTCGCGTGTGATATGGAAACCCTTGGGGTCGACGTAGCTGCCATTCCACGGCTGGAGCTCGTCGAGGGCTGCAAAGGTCTCGCGGGTCATCGTGAAATTCGTCAGTGGGCAATTTTGCAGCCGCTAGAACGGAGTTAGAATTCGTCGTCATTTGAGTCAAGAGAGTACAAGAACTGGAGGCTCTTTGAGAGGTGGACACCCGCAATTGTCGCGATGGGGTTGTTATCGAGGCGCCTACAATACCGATCATGGTGAGTTGGTTATGTTGATGCAAGTTGTCGTAAACGTACAAGAGAGTTAGCTGGTTCCAGTTGCGGTCGACGACTTCATCGAGAAGGTTTGAGTCCAAATTCCTAAGTAGGTTTTGAATCAGTCTAATGGCCACCTCGAAGCCACGTGTACAAGAAAGTAAGGTTCGTGGGGAGGTAGAAGAGGTCCGTGAGCGCGTTGGATTGGAAGGCTCTAGTGTATGTGAAAATGAGCTGCCACGACAGTATCAACCAGGGGATGGCACTTACAGCGTGTGCAGCGTCATGGGCAGTGCTTTCGGGATCGTTTGGAACGCATTGTCGACGAGAATCCTGCTTCTTACGTAAGCCGCATACACGTACATAATTCTTTTACGTACAGCTCTTGTAGACCCGGTGGCCATTGAAAGTTGAGCGGAATCACACCCAAGTTGCACGTTATGAAGGCCCTAGTTATCATTTATATCGTCCTCAGCCAACATCGGGAACATAGCCGTAAGTCACTTACATGGCTGTAAGGTGGGCAATTGCCGCCGGTGCAAATTCGTCCAGATAAATGTCCGAAATGTTGGAAAACCCCCTAAACGAGTGTGCATACATTAGCATGATTCGAAGCATAGGCATGGAGAAACGTACAGCTTGAGAAGCGAAGTTGGCAGCACTAAATCTTCAACCCACATCGTCGACGCATTGTAGAGTGCCCTGTATACGAGCATGAGCGACGTCCTGGAGTTCAAAGCGCGCACAGCTCCTGATATGGAAACATGGTCAGATTACCGAGACCAATGAAGCCCGTGAGGTTGGTTGCGTCTTGCGGCACTTGCTTGGACGATCGAACGCAGGACGTGTTGACGCTGCAGATGGGTGCGGACGGCGAACACAATCCATCCGCAACGAGAATGTTGCCGACCGTGTAGTTGTGATACGGGCAGACTGCACCAAGCACGGCGGCAGGGAGGAATAGCGCCCGAAACCACTGCATGACCAAATTGCAAGTGTCCAACGAGCTACCGGCACATTTAATCGCCCGACGTGATTACTCCATGCACCACCCGCTCGCGTTTACGATCGCGACGTCACGAAACAAGTCATACGTCGGATTGTAATCGTACAATACTGTATATACTGTACCGATATTCAGCCTGCGCGTCGCAAATTGCGGTGCGAAGAGGAAACCGGCTGCTTCAAACTGAGACTTGGACTGTTGGTGTACAATTCCAACAGGACCTGGCTTGTGTGGACCCATCACAGCAATGATGGGTCCACACAGCTTCTGCACGGCCGTCCGATCGGAAGGCTCCTAGTTACTAGTACGTTTATGAAACTGTTCCATACGTTTGCCGTCTTGCGTTATTGGTCTTGCGTGCGCCATTTCGTCTCATATCGAAAACCGATTTCCACGGCATACAGTGCGCTGCGCTCGAGGTACTGGTGTGTCCATGAGTGAATGGGTTTGTACTTACAACGCTGGTTATGTATTCCAGCGCTTTTAGTTGTGGCGGCGGATATTGTTCAGCTTGAAACAAGGGTAGCCTGAACATAATGAATAGGAATAAATACACTGGGAATGAGCACCATTTTGCATTGCGATCATCCAAACGACGAACGCATCTCTCACATTTACCGGTACTATCGTTGACTATGTGCCTTCTTCGTCTCTCTTGTGTCATCGGCAGCTGCAGCTTACCAGTACTGCCTCGGGAGGTCACAGTACGTATGCTTTTTAATCTCTCTCGATCCTGACAAACACTTTGGATTGGTGCAAATGCAACTCTTTTCGACTAATTTAAAAAAGATGATTCTGGCCAATCAAGTGCAGTTTTTACTGAACATTACAACCAATCAGAAGCCGCACGGAAAGTTTCACAGCCCAGAGCGTGTTTGGTCAGAAGCGAGAGATGGGCGAGCGCGGTCTCAGCATCAAGACCGACGGGACCAAGCATGCGTGGGAGTCGGGCGGCGCCGATGAGTTCCCGCAGCTCTGCGAAGGTTGCCTCGGCGAAGACCCGTACGTGCGCATGATGAAGGAGTCGTTTGGGCGGCAGTGCAAGACGTGCGACCGCCCGTTCACGGTCTTCCGCTGGAAGCCGGGCAAGAAGGCGCGCTACAAGAAGACCGAGATCTGCCAGACCTGCGCCAAGATCAAAAATGTGTGCCAGACGTGTGTCTTAGACCTGCAGTACCATCTGCCTGTGCAGGTCCGCGACGCCTTCCTCTCGGAGCAGGAGCGCCAGAACGTGCCCCTGAGCGAGGCCAACCGCGAGTACCACGCGCAGCAGCACAACCTCATGCTCGAAGACGAAGGCCTCGTCTCCGCGTATGGCAAGTCGTCAGCGCCCAACCAAGCGCTTCTTCGCATGGCCCGCGTCGAGCCGTACTACAAGCGCAACCGCCCGCACTTCTGCTCGTTTTTTGCGCGCGGCGAGTGCAAGCGCGGTGAGATGTGCCCGTACCTGCACGAGATGCCTCCGCCCAAGGGCAGCGCACTCGCAAAGCAGAATATCAAGGACCGTTTCCACGGCAAGAACGACCCCGTCGCCGAGAAGATGCTCGCGACAGAAGGCAAAGCGCTGCAAATCAACCGCCGCCGCCGTGGGATCCCGCCGCCGCCGCCTCCGCCGCCTGTCGTTGAAGCAGAACCAACGAGCGTACCGCCGCCACCCGCGTCGACGTAGTATCGCAGCGGTGATCCATGCATAACTAATAAGCACTTGTTTCAATTGTTATTATTTCTTTTTTTCTGCATTCACTAGATCGACGGGCGCCGAGACGCCATTGGCTTGCGAGCAGAGTAAAGCATGGCAGCAACGGTGTTTCTCGACAGGAAACCCGCTTGGGACGTCGGCGACTCATCGGTGCGACTCATCGGTGATGTAGTTAGTCGAAAAAGTGATCGTCTTCGAGGTGTAAAAGCGATTCGCGAGTCGTGGTCAATGCTGGCTGCCTTCGATAAGACTTGTTGGGAAATGCTGGAGCGTCAAGAGACAGGGATATCCTGGCTACTTGTCACTGTGAACGCGACTCGTCTACCTTTAAAATGACATTCGGGCCCGCCACATCGCACGGCCCGTCCTGGCGCCGGCGCTTGAGCAAGCTCGAGTCGATGGTCCACGACGAGCACGCAGACGCGATGCGCCCGTCGAGCGTCTAGTACGCAACGATCGGCAGCGCGCTCCTCGGGGCGTTCCAGTTTGGCTGGCTCCTCTCGCTCAACTCCGTTCCGTTCAACGCCAACTGCGACGCGAACCCGATCCCGGTTGGCGACTGCCTCCTCTTTGCGCCGCACTCGGAGAACAAGTGGACGCTCGCCGTCTCGGCGTGGATCGCCGGCGGCGCCGTCGGGGCCATTTGCAGCGGTCTGCCCGCCGACGTCTTTGGCCGCAAGAAGACCCTGGGCGTGAACGCGCTCATCATTGTCTTCTCATCCAGAGCCTCGCGACAACCCTCGAGACGTTTACCATCGGGCGGCTCATCTCGGGCGTTGCGTCCGGCGTCGCCATCAACGTCTGCGAAGCGCTCATCTCAGAGATCTCGCCGTCGCAGATGCGCTGCGCACGCAAAAGATCCAAGCAGACAAGAAAACGGAAGGGTCGAGGAGCTCGCCCACATCGGCGCCTTCAGAGTACATTGAGACGTCACGTCACGTCCCCTTGCTGTCAACGCACCACCTGTGCGACACGGCGCGTCCGACGTCATCGGACGTCGCACATCTGGCGTCTTGTGTACACTATTGTCCCGGAAGCGCCGTCCGGCCGGATAGTGTGTCCGGATACGCCTCTCCGAATTCGCGCCAAATAACTGCTTCGCCCTAGAGGTCATTCTTCAATTTCATCCACGGCTTCAACAACGACTATCATCATGACGAGCAAGCGTGCGGGTGCTATCTTTGTCAACCACGGCGCGGGTCCGTTGCCGCTGCTTCGGCCTGTCTCGGACCCGGACCACGGATCGACACGCCGTTTCATGGAGTTCGACACGCCGAAGCTCCTTGGGCTCGAGGATGCGGCGACTCGGCCTCGCGCCATCGTCGTCGTCTCGGCGCACTGGCAAGATGACCGCGTCCAGATTTCGTCTGGGGCGTCCCACGACCTTCTCTACGACTACTACAAGTACGACGGGGGTGATTCCTCGTCGAGTGGTCACTCACTACGATATGCGTGTAGCTTCCCGGACGAAGCGTACAAGGTTACGTACAAGGCCCCGGGGTCGCCTGAGATTTCGCAAAAGATCCACGCGCTTCTAGCGCAGGCCAGCATTCCATCCAATTTGGACCCGACGCGGGGCTGGGACCACGGCACGTTTGTGCCAATGAAGCTCATTCGCCCGCAGGAAGACATCCCGATCGTCCAAGTGAGCGTCGTCGCGGGCTGGGACCCAGTGTTGCACTTCAAGATCGGCCAAGTGCTCTCGGTGCTTCGGAACGAGAACATTGCGATCATCGGCTCGGGCATGTCGTTCCATCCCAACTGGGGTACGCCCGTGACGAACGAGACAGAAGACCATGCGCGCACCTTCATTCGCGACCTCACGTCTGCGGTGTTGCAGCCGTCGATCGCAGCACGCGGCGATGCCTTGGCCAAGTGGGACTCGCTGCCTTTTGCGCGCGAGTGCCACCAGAAAGACGAGCACCTGATTCCGGTACGATACTTGCACTTCGTTGCCGTTGTTTTGTGGACTGAGATGACGTCGTCTTTAGCTGATGGTCGTCGCGGGCGCGGGTGGCGAAGGGATGGCGCAGGCGTTTGACGTGCACAAAGGCATGTACGAAGCGTTTGCGTGGACGGCGTGAAAGAGAGGTCGGTGATGACCATAATACGTAATTTGCATTTAATGAGATGACACTGCGCCGGTGGAATACGAGAAATTCGATTTGTGAAGGATGAGGCTGAGCCTGTGACTATCGAATACTGTACTGCTTGTGAAAGGAAATTGCTGTTTCTCGGATCTAACGTCCAATGAAGGTGATCTACTGTACTTCAACTTGGCTCGAAACAAATACTCCATGTGTCATGGGCACGTGTGGTAGCAACCTGACGCGTCGTCTATCGTGTCTTGATAGCTGTCTTGATGCTACTTTATGAGCAGCGGTACACTCAGCGGTACAGTTCATACTCGTTGACCACGTCGGCTTGTGTGACACAAGAACCGGCGCCTCCTTGCAGCAGCTGTTTTAGCCACATGGAGCCAAAAACTGTGGTACATGGGATGACTCTTTGTGTACACTATTCGGCCGGAAGAGGATTCCCCAGACGCAACTTCCGAGAGACATGCGCAGCGGACTTCGATGGACCCCAGTACCATCTGCTGCATGTGCTGACCTCTTGACGTGCCATTTCCGTCACATTCACTTTTCAACGTTTCCCAGGATGACAACTTCCACCACTGCACTCTCCACGCGAGCAGCGGCCGTCTTTGCCAACCACGGTGCTGGTCCATTGCCCGTGCTCTGCTCGGCGAAGGACCGTACGCATGGCCCGACACGTCGCTTTCTCGAAACGATGATCCCGACCCTCCTTGGATTAAAGGATACAGCGACGCGCCCCAAGGCTATCGTCTTGGTGACAGCGCATTGGGAAGAATCGTGTGTCGCCATCTCATCGGGGGCGTCCCCTGCACTTCTATATGACTACTACGGGTCCGCCACACACGCAAGTCCGCACATCACTTACATTCTGCACGTAGATTTCCTCGCCAAGCCTACGAAATCTCGTACAACGCGCCAGGGTCGCCAGCGATTGCCCAAAAGATCCACCAGCTCCTCTCAGAAGCCAACATTGATTCGCGCCTCCGACGCGCGGCTGGGACCACGGCACGTTTGTGCCAATGAAGCTCATTCGCCCGGACGAAGACATTCCGATCGTCCAAGTGAGCGTCGTCGCGGGCTGGGACCCAGTGTTGCACTTCAAGATCGGCCAAGTGCTCTCTGTGCTCCGTGATGAAAACATTGCGATCGTCGGATCTGGCGCGACCTTCCACCCCAGCCGTAGCGTCGTCGATAGCACACGCCGCGCGCGCAAGTTCAATGCGGCGCTGACCGAAGCCGCTCTCGGAACGTCCGTAGAGGGCCGACGCGAGGCGCTCAAGCGCTGGGCAACACTGCCGCACGCACGCGACTGCCATCAACGCGAAGAACACTTGATCCCGGTACACTGTGGCTCTGCATTCTGGATACCAGTAAGCTCATATATTTACGGTTGCTAGCTCATGGTAGTCGCGGGCGCCGGCGGAGCTGACAAAGGCAACGCGTTTGACGTGGATGACGGCATCTACACTTCGTTTGCGTGGCGTGGATAGAGTCGCCATGGCTTCCTCAACCTACTCGCAATATAAATGGATTTCTTTACAAAAGGTTGGACAGCAACAAAGGTGTCGAAACGAACGCAATATGAGAACGCGTTGATGTTTATTTTTGTTGTTGAAGTGAGTCTATTTCGATATAATTTACACTGAACTGGATATGGTGGTGGACTATCGATTCCAAGGTGCTACGACGAGCCGGCCGCCGAGAGGCTTAGCCGAGCGGGAGACGTGGCGTGTAAACGGCACATGCCGGAACAAAGTTGTCGCGTAGCCATGCGTCGTGCCGCAGGGCTGCCATCATTTGGAAGAGGCACAATGCTTGAGTGTTCAGCAGCAGGTGTTCGAGGTGCAGCTTGGTCAAGAACGCGGCTCGTTGGGCGGCGGCCTCAGGCGTCACAAGGGGCGCCTCGGGGCGAAAGACTCGGTCGTTGC